AAATTAGGGTGTGGTTTGTATAAGGGTGAGGTTCTAAACCTTCAAATAAAGCACATCTCCAAATAATGTTGAAAGATGTTGTTTCGGTACTAGAAATCATTGTGATGGTTTGAAAATATATTTTCATATCTAATTATAAAATTTAAAGCTACAAAAAAAGTGTAGATCGAGTATATCTATGAACACTTAAAAATCTTGAAAATTGACTGTCTAAAAAATGCATTATAAGATGTATTATTTTCAATATCTACAATCCATTTTTTTTCATGTCCATACTCTACGTCCATCTACTCGATATAAATATGGAAATTTTAGAATGTTTCAATTCATATTCTTGTAGGTTTTGCATTGAGAAGCTCAATTTTCATGTTTTTATTCTAATTTTGCCTTTGGTATGATGTCTGCCATCGTATCACATTTTTTTTATTTCTTTTGTTTTTGTGGTTTTTGGGCCAATTGGATGCTAAGATATCACACCCACTTTGATATTGGAAATATTATACTGCCCGGTAAATATATTTTTTTAACTACTTTCGTACGACATCAAACCCCATTTACAAAAAAAAAAAAAGCATAAATAAATTCGGTGAGTTTTTTCTCTAACATCAAACGGACCATACAATAATCCCGATGTCATTCGCTTTGTGGTAACCCTTTCCATTCCTCTATAAATTATTGTTATGGAGAGTTGTTAAGTCGAGCGAATGAATGATAACAAGATAAAGCACTCAATTTTTATGGTCAGGAGCTTGATCACAAATTATATCGATTTTTCTAAGCTTTTCATTGGTTTGGTTCAAATTAGCTACAAGTAGGACTTTGGTGGAATATATTATATTTTATATTGTTTCAAAAAAATTTAAGCCTTTATCTAAATCAGCCGAAGCATCAAATTTCTTTGTTTTTTTAACCAAACTGAAAAAGACTCGGTTTCTATCCGGCCAAGCCTGCATATGTAGAAATACGAGCCTATTAATAAATCTATTTTCGAAATGGATTTTTTAACTTAATTTTTAAGGACATGTAATCTCTAACAAGGAGATCATGAATAATAAATAATAAATAATTTTAAAAATTAGAAATAATAATTCTAGTAAAAAAACAATTGGGCCATAAGTTTCCATTGTTTTTGAGAAAGAACACCTACCTGCATCCATCTTTAAGATCAATGCTTCATCCTTTTTGGACCGTATATGCAGTCATGCAGTCCAGCCTGCATGAAACACTTTTCCAACTCAAAACGACTCCGAAGCGAATCTGACAACACCAGGATTCTGAACTAAATATTCAAACTTCCCAAATTTGATAGTCCATTTAATTCGCCGGTCTAGATTTTCTTTCGTATCGATTTGATTTGGGGCCACTATTAAGCTCCTAATCCCCTTTTTAAAAAAAAACAAAATCCTGTTCTAATTACTCTTCGAGACTTTTGGGGTAGAGTGGTGGGCCGAAATCAACAATTTGGTCGGACCAGGTAATCTTTTTCACTCACATAATACAAGTAATGGCTCTAACTGTACTGAGCATTTCCAAATTGAGGTGTTTCAATATTCCCACCCTTTATTTTGGTGGAATTAGAGAAATTGATGGTTTAGCTGTAGTCGCTTTATATGTACGCACTGGTAGCTGTGATTTGTATAAGGTTGCAACCTTAAGCAATCCAATTAAGGCACGCCTTCAAATTTTATTATAATATGTAATTTTGGTGTAAAAAATTTTTAGGATTATCTGAAAATCTATTTTAATATTTAATTATAAAAGTTTAAGCTCTAAAAATGGTTAAAATCAAGTAAATCTATTAACACTTGAAAATATTGAAAATGAAAGGTCTGATAATGTGTTTCAAGAAGCACTATTTTTGGGACTCAAAATCTTTTATTTTTACATATTCATACATTTCGATGTCAAGATGATTAATTAGAGGGTTTTTTAATATTAAAACAACCTTTTCTAATGGATTTTTCAAGTGCATTTCTAATTGTAATATTGAATCGTCCAATATGCCCATAATCGTCCCATAAATGGGTTTGAGGTGCATCTTTAATTCTAATATACCTAGTTATTAGACAAACCAGCTGACGTGCATTTTTAGAAAAGATACCTCATATTTAGTAAATCCACTAATCACAACTCACTCTAACATTAATCTTTACAATTCATAACTTTTTCAAATTACAAAGGTTATTGTTAGAGTGAGTTGTGATGAGTGGATTTACTAAGCATGCCATATATATGTATATATTAAAATAATAATAAAAAAAAAAAGTTTCTTTGCTTCAACCGAAATGGCAGAATCGGACCGAGGCAACTCAAAGCTAACCAAAGCGACTATACAAGGCATCGCTTTGCTTCGGTATAAGCCAAAATTCCAAAAGCTTCGGCCTCTCCTGCCGAAGCAAAGCGAACTTGATAACATTGCATAACCTTTTTTTCTCCTTGCCTTAAAGTCCTATTAGGATGCATTAAATGTGTTTAAAGAGAGTTAGAATTATAGAAAGCCCCTAATTAGGTGTACAACGTGTTCCCACCGGGCACCATGTAGGCCGCATAACCCCTTCAACTTATGTCTTTTCCCACCAAAACTATAGGTCCATGATTAAAAACGATTAGCTGGTAATGCACAGTCCTAATGCCAAGTCTAACTCAATAATATCCAAAAATGTCCATTGATTTGATATTTTTAGGTTTCATGTTAATATCACGACAAACTAATCACCCGATACTATTACGCAAGTAGCCCACAAGCAGTGTTATGAGAACCACTAGTTCCATTGCACCAGCGTGATGGGTCATAATTAGTCCCAACTGATTCGACTGTCGGTTTAATTTGGACTGAATTTTTTAATAAATAATAAATAATAATTGAAAATATAAAATACATTATACTAAAAAAATTTATGTACAAACCCAAAATAAGTTTCCATATATGCAAGATTGTCTATGTTTTTTTTTGGAAATGTTACAATGAGTCCCCAAATTTTGTTGTTTGTTCTATTATCATTTTAAGCCCTCCTTGAGCCTCCATTGGTCGAATGGCCCAAAACATATAAAGACTATGTATTTGTGCAACTCAAAAGTGTAAATTTCAAACCAGCCAAAATACAAAATAACTATGAATTTGAGCAATTCGAAGCTGCAACTTTTAAACATTTGGGTAGTTTCAAAGCGCACATTCAAAGTGACCAATACATAAAAAAAACTTTCACATTTGGGTGGTTAAAAATTCAACTTGCAACTTTTAAACATTTGGGCAGTTTCAAAGCGCACATTCAAAGTGACCAATACATAAAAAAAACTCTCACAATTGGGTGGTTAAAAATTCAACTTTTCAAGTGTCTGGAATATGAAAATGAAAAGAAAAAACATCAATATTCGCATAATTCATAAGTCTAACTTCTAAATTATCCGAAGGTCTACTATTTTTTTGTATTTTAGGAGTGTCTAAAGTGCTAGGTTTGAATTGCTCCAAAACCCCTTTTTTCTTCCCCTTGTTTAGGAAGTTCGAGAGGAAATTCGAAAGTTCCACTCTCGAACCATCCAAACACTTAACTTTTTTATGTTTCGAGCAGTTAGAAAATGTGACTTTAAAACTGCCCCAAACATAAAAGAACTAGCATTTTGAGCCAAATTGAATCTAAAAAAGAGAGAAAAAAAAGTGTTTGGGTGGTATAAAAGTCGAAATTTTGATGTTTAGTGTTTCTATGTTGTGTTTTGTAAGATTTTTGAATGTCCTACTTTTCAAACTGCACCAAAACCTATTGTTTTCTTTTTGTGTGGTTCTAGCGCCCAAACACTTAGTTTTGTATGTTTTATATTTTCAAACTTAGGTAAAATGAAAATAAAATATACTAAAAAGTTTTGGTCTCACAGGTATAATGTCTAAGACGCTAAAACTTAATCTAGTTTCATACATAAAATTCTCAAAAAATATTTGCCTAGCATTGTTCAGCCCGTCTAATCTATAAAAATTAGTTGGTCTGACAGTCCAAATTCAATTAAATGTTGATTTTAATAGGTTTTCTACCAAACTTAGGTTTTCAAGACACTAATCAATAGTCCAGCCACTCCGCCCAATCTACTCTTGATAAATATACACAGGACTTTCTAACCAAGAAAAATGCTCATATACCAGATAGGTACATAATGTACAATATGAGGCTCCCACCTTTTTACTAAGCAGTTGATGTAAATAGCACTAGCGAAGGGTTGGGTGTGTCCAGCCCTAGCCCAAAATATTGGCTCGAGGACCAGGTCGGGACAACGGCCATGGCTGATCTGACCAGGCCTACTTTTTACCTTTATTTATTTATTTATTTTTTAATTCTTGTTAATCCAGGCCTTGCCAGAACTAGGCCATGGCCAAGCTAGACCCTGCTAATAAAGGGCTCCGGGCTAGGTTTGGGCAAGGGTCTCTTTGGTCAAGTCAGGCTAGGCCACCATGGACTCCAGGACCAAGCCAGCCGCGACCCAACCCAATGAGAGGCCTAAATATGATAAACCCTACTCCAGCATATTCATTTGGGGACTGCTGTTGCAGCACATGCTATCACCACCGTACCATGAATGCGATCGTGCATGCCATATTTTTAAAGGGTATGATTTATATAAGGCACCCACTTTTAACAATCAAAGCTGCACCTTCAAATCTTCTATTGTACTACCTTAAATTCTTAGAATGGCTTGAAAATATTTTTTCAAACAATTTAAAACTCCAAAAACAATGCAGGTTAAACATAATTATAAATATTTGAAAATCTTAAAAATAAATTGTCTAAATAATATATTACAAGATGTACTATTTTTAAGGCTTAAAAATATTTTTTAATTTTTACATCCACACATCTCATGATCATGATGATCAATGTTAAGGTTTTCCAGTGTTGGAAAAACTTTTCTATAAGATTTTTGAGGTACATCTCACTTCTATAGCATCGATTCACTTCTATAGTATAAAATTGATGTGTTATATAAACTTCTCCTTTTAAAAATCAAGTACCAAATAGGAAAGATGCAAATTTTTCTCTTATCAAACACGCATCAGACGCTGTACAAGTGATGCCTTATTTTTTTTATGTATAACTGAGAACATGTAAACTCAACAGAGAGAACTACATTTACTTGAAAAGCGAGGCACTGAGAAGATAATATACTCTGTGAACCATTAAACAACAAATATTCATAATCCTGAGAAATCATCTGCCATTGCACCTGTACTTGTACTTCCTGCAAGTTTATGAACCAAATCCATTAGTGAGTGCCCCTTCTCTTCTCCTTCCCCTACACATTCTAATCTCTTCTCGTATCTCATCTCTTTTTCTCCCTCTTCCTCATCCTCTTCTTCATTATTCTCATCGCCATCGTCGTAGTCGTCGTCGTCATCTTCGTCTTCTGGATTTTCTTCGTCTTCCTCGACCGTGGTGGTCTTCTGTTTGGAAGGGCTCTCTGCAATATCCATTCCATCAGATCTGAAATTATCCAACCTAAGCCCCTTATATTTCCCTTCATGTGTGCTGAGGGTCAGATCAGGCCGCACCATTGCCTCCAGTAGGTCGGAACCACGGTCCTCCTCTTCGTCGTGCCTCTCTCGACCTCCCTTTCCCTTTACCTTTCCATAGAGCATATCAAGCTGGTGAAAATAAGGACATGTTTTTGAATGCAGAGGCCTTTTCCGAGCATTACCCTTCGTCTTCCGAAAGTATTTGTTGATATTCTCCCACTTCTCCTTGCACCTCTTTGCGCTTCTGCTGTACCCGAGTCCAGCCATGGTTGCACTCACGTCCTCCCAGAGCGCACCCTTCCCTCCAGGTTCCCTAAACTTGAACTCGAGCCGGGTTCGAACCCGTATTAGTGCCTGAACCTCGGCCCGTGGCCACCTCCTTGATAAAGTCATCTCTGTTCCTCCTCCCCCTCCTGAGCCATCTGCAAGGGGCACTGTGGGGGCCTGTCCCGTTAGCTTCTCCAGGAAAGATAAAATGGCTGCTTCTCTCACAGATGCCAGCGTGCGCTCGCGTGTACGGGCCGCAGCCTCTTGCCCCAGTCTCTCCGCCTCACGGCTCCGCCACGCATCCTCGAGCTCCTGCCGCTCGCGATCCCGCTTTTCCAGCACCTCCACAAACTTTGCGTGGAGGATCTCTTGGTGCTCCATTACCTGCCGCACCAACCTCTCGAAGAAAGTGGACAATGCAGACACAAGTTCCTTATTCTTCTTGTTCCTCCTAGGCAGGGTCTTCGATACCGGAATCACTTCCGCCTCGGAGGGTCGTTTTTCCGAGGCCTGAAAAGCATGCCCCTCCGGTGGGATCGTGTGGTTGTCGTTGGTTAGGGCTGAGCTCGAGGCTGTTTGGAGGTCCAGAGCGGAGTTTCGGGGGAGAGAGCTTCCTGTGTAGATGGCTTCGAGCTCTCCAAAGAGCCTGTAACTGGTGATGGTGGTGGTGGTGGTTTTGGAGTCTGGTGCTTCAGAGAGTTTTTTTTCGAAGAATTTGGGGGTGGAGATGTCTTCTTTGGATGCAGTGGTGGGGTTTCTTGAGTACGTTGGATCCCCTAGCTTCCTGCAACCATTATTGCTGTGAATTATATGGTACTGCAATTACATTCAGATTGATTGTAGTCATGTTACTGACCTAAACCCCACATTGGTGATCCAGTAATATATTAAATGCCCACTAAAATGATCTCTCTCTCTCACTCTCTCTCTCTCTCTCTCTCAAAGCATAGAAATGGATGACGATTTCATCAGGCATTAACATTCTGAATAAAACCCCACGTTGGGAAGCAGCGTGGTCTGTTCTTTTAAATGCCTCTACCTCTCTCTCTCTAACCTAGGGAGTTTAGCAGGTAATATGTGCCCCTGGCCCTTCTCTCTCTCTCTAACTGAACTTTTGATTCACAAAAGAAAACATAGCTAGACTTTATATGGATATGGGATCGTCCTTTCCAATTTCACTCAAGCATAGCATGAGCAAATATAAGCTCAGTTGCAGGTAGAGAGAAAAGGAACCCATCTCTCCATGGAAACATAGCTAGAGAGAGAGAGAGAGAGAGTACCAGACTGGGCCTCTGATGTCAATGACTGAGCAGCGATCGGAGGCATGGGCGGCGCCACTAGGGTTGGGATCCACGACCAGCTGCTGCTGTTGTTGATGATGAAAGAATTGGAGGTGGCTACTAAACCTTTGCTGCTGCTGCTGCTGCTTGGGGTTGAGAGGATGTTGGTCATGAGTTGGAGCAATGGAGAAGAGGGAGCACCCATCCACCATGAATTGCTGCATCTCTGGGACACCATAACCCGACTGCATCTTCGACGACTCCCCCTTTCTCCCTCTATTCCTTCAGATTTCAAACAAAAATTTTCGATCCAAAAGCTCTTTACTATTGATCGCTAAAGAGAGAGGGAGGTTTTCCTGCCTGGTTCTGAACTGTGAAAGAGAGCGATTGTTTTTGTATTTGGTTTAGAGAGAGAGAGAGAGAGTGGTTCTGAACTGTGCAGTTTTCTACTTGGAGAGAGAGAGAGAGTTTCAGCATCTGGTTTTAGAGAGAGAGAGAGAGAGAGAGAGAG